AGATTTGAATCTGGTAACCTCCTGATAAGATCAGGAGTAAGCTAACTTAATCTGCAGATAGGATTAAGATAATCCCCTATCCAAATACTGATTTGGATTGGGATAACTCCTAATTAGGAAGTTTTCTTAATCAAGAAAAAAGGAGGAGAAACCCAAGAGGAAACATCAGATTTCGAACCAAGTTTTTTGCCAAGAAAACTCCATGCGAATTGAGATTAGATCTCATACAGACTCCAGAGAGAAGAGAAGCAGTTCAGCCATCTTCGTCCCAGGAGTTCTCCTCCGGTCGCCGCCATTCTCTCTTGCAAGATTTGATCTTTGCAGCAATAGGAAGTCAAGAAATCAGTTCTTGACATCAGACTTGCAAGAAAGATTGAAAAAGATTCGGTGTTCAGAGTTTCCAGAGGGTTCTTGCGAAGGATCCAGTGTGTAGGACGCACCGTGCTGGTTCTGTTCCACCCACAGCTGTGTCATCTTCAGCAGGATCGGTTCTTGGTGTCTTCTTTGGGTGTGAACACCAACTTTGGGAGATACTGTTTCTCCGGATCAAGTAGAATCCTTGAATCCTTGAATATGGTTCAAGTAGAATCCTTGAATATTGTATTCTAAATTTAGGGAATGCGATTCCTAGTTGGGAGAAGGTAGGAAAATTTTTGAAATTCGCCCACCCATTCCACAACCTTTATAGCGTCCATTAGAATACTCCCCAAACAACTTTGCACATGTGCCAAACGCAATACAGAGAACACACCTCTCTGTTGTCGAACAACCCCACACAGTCCCACAAGGTAATACGATGGTGGAGGTGCCCATCAGTCGAATGGAGATAAGAGAATATGTCCAAGGCCTAGTAGAGGAGAGACAAAACAAGACTCAACTTATGTTCATGCTCCAGATGCCCTACTCCAATTGTATCTTATACAAACCATATCCCTCTGGCTACGTTCCCCCATAACAGTGGCCACAATATGATGGGTAGAGAAGGAGCCCACAAGAAAATGTCAACAAATTCAAAGATGCGTTGGGAGCGTTTGCCTTGGACAAAGACTTGAAAGTTTAGGAGTTTTCTAAATCTATGACTGGACCGGCGTATTCATGGTTTGTCAACTCGAC